AGATTCAAATAGTGGGTTGTTGGAAAAGTCATGACGGATTTTTGCCGTAGGGCGGGTGCCACCACGCCCAAAATCGTGCACTCGCCGAGAGAGACAGAGAGAGAGAGTGAGATGGACTCGATGCCTTGACGGATTTTTCTATGCAAAAATGTGCCGTGACTTTTCCAACGGCCCACTATAAAACCATAGCCCTCCCCAAACTAGAAATCTCAAGTCAAAGTTTTATTCAAAAATATCTTCTCAGGACCATCAGTTGGTGTAATGGCTATATCGCTGGATCCCCACATAGTCGACGGCGGTTCAAGTCCTAGACCTGGTGGCTTAAACTCATGCCAGGCACATGTGCGTGTGTGCCCAAGATCCCAAGAGAATGGAGGAGAAGGGATTGTGGCATGGCCATCCCCCCTGGGGGGTGATTTCTCGCTTTCTGTTGCTTTGTATTTGTCTTTCTGGTGATCGCATGCGCCCTATAGCAAAAACCTCTCTAGAAAAAGAAAAGAATGTCTCCTGTAGGAGCCAGCAGGCGATGTAGCAGCTAAGGTGCTGGACTCCCACATGGCTGCCCACAGTTCGAGCCCTGGACGCACTGGCTTGAAAATCACACTGAGCACATGTGTATGTGTGCCCAAAATTGCAAGAGGGGAATGGAGGAGGAGGGACTGTAGTGTGGCTATCCCCCCCGGGGGGTGATTTTTCATTTTCCCCTCTCTCTGCCTTTCTCTTTCTGTCTCTGGCAAACAAAACCAAAACAGAATAAAAAGAACGTTTTCTGTAGAAAGAGCAATGCTTAAGCTCTCTGCATCAGCAAGTTATGTAATAAATAAGAGCCTCCTCAAGGAGAAGCAGCACAGGATCCCCAGCATGTCACTTTCAGGTAATTATGCTCGTCCCAAAGTAAACAGCATGGATTCCAAACATAGCCCGACTTTCAGAAGAAGTAGGTGGGGAGAATGAGGCCGGCATACACTCCACGCTTTTCCTACGGTGTGGGTTTATATTTCAATGTTTTCATTCTGAAAAGCAAATGAGGCAAATCGAGACTTTTTTATCACCCATCTGGTTTGCCAGAAGGGCTGCCTTGATGTGTTAATAGACTTTTCTCATCTCTTCCAAGTATTTTAGCATTTAAAACCACACACCATGGTATGGCTGCTTAGGAAGTTCTCGAAAGGTCACGCACAGCATTTCCATGTGACAGCAATCCCATCCTGGGCTACGGCAAGGGGCACTGAAAACAGGTTAGACGATGCTTGCTCAGAGCAGCCTCAGGCCTACGGCCAGAAAGAGACACGCCTCCAGGGCCCCCAGCAGCGGGTGACATCCTGATGAGTGCGCCCTGGGACACCATGCGGCCATGAAGAGGGACGAAGCGCTGATCTGTGCTGCACAGGAACGCTAAGAAAAGCCGCCACACGCTGAAGGCAGCATGGTACATGGCTCCAGGAACACGCAACAGTGACATGGACAGACAGCTGGTCCCACGGCAGACGGGTGCTGCTGAGTGCCAGGGGAGGTCGGGTGAGGGACGACTGTGGCCGGGAGGAGGTGGTGACGGGGAGGTTCTGGGACTGGGCAGGGCCATGTGTGCACACCACTGTGCACGTACTCAGCCGCACAGAGACTGGGATGGCATGTGGACGCACACCTCAACCCATCCAGACACTGGGCGGCCCGTACGCGGGGTGACGCACGGGGCATAGGGAGCCAGAGCCCACGTGGCCAACCGCGGCTCACATCCCACCCACGTGCTCATGACAAGATGGAGACAAAGGGACTGTGGTGTGACCACGCCTCGCCGGGGAATGCACTTGCTCGCTCGCTCGCTCTCTCTCTGGAGCATGCACATGCGTTCTGGCTAAATAAATAACTAAACAATGGAAGCCTACATAACAGAAAATAGATGTTGACTTCTCATCAGAGAATGGTAACTTCCAAATTAAATGTAGATTAACGTGGTACCCCTTTAAAAACCTTACTGTGATTTTGATAAGTTAAACACGTTATAAACACTTTCGAGATTAAGTCTTTTGTTTGTTTGTTTAAGAAATTACTTACTTGATTTTATTTTTATAATCATTATTTTTTTAATTTGCTACAGAGCATGTGGGCTCACCGGTGAGCTAGAGAGAGAAAGAAGGAAAAGCCAGGTCCAGGCTTGAATCACGGTCAACCATGTGCAAGTCCAGGTCTTAACCACTATGCCACCTGCTGGTCCTAAACCTTCTACAATGCTCACTCCGTAAGCTTTTCGATTAATTGGGAATTCTCAGGGTACTCTTACTACCACCTTTGTGGCCCTGAGTCTGCCAGAGCAGGAATCAGCTAAATGACTCATGCAAATTTTTAAGTGGGCAGAATATTTTATTAAATTTGGCTTCCCAATATGATGCTGAATTTTAGTATAGGAGAAAAATATGTTTTATGTCTGAATTTTTAATTTATTTATTTTAGTATGCCACAAGGTGCATGCACATGCCAGGAAGAGAGAAGGAAAAGGAAAAAGTGTCTCCCCAGTGGGACCTGGTCATGCCGCAATCCCCTTTCCCCATTCCCCCCTTCTGTCAGATCCTGGGCATACGAGCACATGCATACCTGACTGATTTTCAAGCTGTCAAGCTGGGATTCAAACAGTGGTCAGTCACGTGGGAGCAG